TATTCAGACATAAGCACCTAAACCAAACAAAAAAAATAAAGTAAGAAAAAAAAGAACAATTGAGTGAGAGAAAGAATGGATTAATCTATCTGAAAGGACAAAGAAGTGATGGGTGGATTGACCCTCAAAAAATTATCAAACAAAACTCTAATGAGTCCACAAAAGCATATAAGAAAAATTGAGTGAGAGAGAGGATGAATTAATTTATCTGAAAGGACAAATAAGTGAAGGCTGGATTGACCCTCAAAAAATTATCAAACAAAACTCTAATGAGTCCACAAAAGCATATAACCACCCACACATGACTAGAAACTCAACACCTTGCACGACGGATGATCTCCCTTCAAACTCCCAATCTGACAATCCAAATAGATGTATTAAAAGGGGTCACTATTAAGGCCAACAAATGCAACTCAAAAGCCACAAAACAGACCCCAAAAAATGCTAACTGAAAGCCACGATTAAAGCCTCAAAACCACACCCACAAAAGGTCATAAAATAGTCATAAAAGTTTCCAAAACCGCAGCTCCAAAAGGGCACAAAACAGTCCCAAATATCGCCAAAACCCGTAGCCCAAATGAGGCACAAAACAATCCCAAACATGTCCACAAATCGCAGCCCAAAATGGGGCACAAAACAATCCCCAACATGTCCATAAACCGCAGCCCAAACTGGGCACAAAACAGTCCTAAAAACAGTACTTAAATCAGCCCAAAAACAGTATTTAAACTCGTCCAAAAACAGTGGATAAACAACCCTAAAACAATGCTTAAATCTGCCCCAAAACTATGAGCATTGGCAGCCCAAAATAGTGTTTAAAAATGCATTTAAAACTACTCCAAAATGATAAATGTATTAAGCCCAAAACAGTGAGTTTACAAACTCAGAAGATGCATTTTGGTCTTTCCAAATCAACAAATAAATCATCTCATTACTGCTAAAAAAAATGTTCATATATCAGGCAGTGCTAAAGAAATGTTCATCCAAGTCATGAACCATCCAGAAGTACAAAGTAAATGAAGATTTCATTTATGATGTTAAAACTCTCCCAACTTAAGATGATAGGGGAAGAGGGAGCCTCTTCTTCTCTTCTCCTCTTTTTTTTTGTTTTGTTTTTTTTGTTTTTGTTTTTTTTTTTTTTGGTTTTTGAAAGATATATACATACAAATCTTTAAGAAAAAAGCCTCATTGAATATACAGGTTCATGAAAGTCGTTGCCATGCATATTGATTTTTGTAACATTAATTTGAAAAGAACCATCAAAGAGATTGTTCCCAGGGGAACTAATAACTTCTCCTTGATTTTAATAAACCAAATGATTTTCTATCAAGGGGTATTGTTGAACAAGCTATCAAAGAGAAGAGAACAAATCTCTTTTTCTTCAAAAACTACATGGAAAACATTATAACTCATGCCCTGGGATCAAAGTTTAATAATACTTGAGCCAAATTTATGAAAAATCTCCGTATATACTGATTTCATTAAAAAAATAATAATGTGTCCCCATAACATAACAAGTAAGAAAATCCTATATTAACCAGGTTTAATCTTTAGCTGTGTCCTTCAGTAAACCTATGATGCCAATCCAACCCTCCAATTCAGGGCTGCCAACAAAGCCTACAATTTGAAACAACTTTTTTTTTTTCTCAAAGACCAAAACCAATAAAGAATGATAGGGGAATGAGTATTGTTAAAGTTTCTGCCAAAAATAAATTTATAAACCATAACATAAATGAGACAATGCACAACTCGCAAAACAAGCAGGGTCGTTTAGATGATGCTTGCATTTACAAACTTCTACTATCAACTTCACCCAAGGCATATAATAAATTCCAAGATAGAGTAAAGAAAGAAAGAAATCCCCTTACCCTAAATGCCCAAAGAATCCAGAAGTTAGAATGAATGTAAAAGAGAAGGGAACAAATTAACAGAGCTCCAAAAATTGCAAGGGATGCACCGACCAGTGGAGATTCAGCAACAACTTTAGATTTCCCTAAACAAACAAACATTCTGTGCTATAATTTTTTATAGAATTTTCAAATCAAAGCGGCCATGAACCAAACCATCAAAAGAATGCTAGGCTAAATGAAAGTTAAAGAAGTATCAGCACAAGTATTCATATATATATATATATACAACTTCAATGCCCTTTTAACGCTTCATGCAAGCCATTAGAATCAGCGGCTAAACAGCCAAACAAATAATCGAACGAAACAAACAAAGGATCGAATGCATAAGGAGGGAGCATGGGGATTAAACTACGGAGAGAGAAGGCACCTTAAGCTTAAAGATACAAGAAAGGAGAAAGAAGGCACCTTAAGCGGCAGAACCGACCAAGAAATCACCCGGAATTTGGCAGCACCTCCCCTTGCACCAAAATTTCAACCAGAAGAAAACCTCCCCCAAGTGGGGTTTATATATCCAAGAGGAGGAGAAACCCAAACACTCCACTTACCTGGAGATGAACTGAACGAGAAAGGGACGGTTAACCGAACGAGAAAGGGACGGGTAACCGAACGAGACAGGGACGGGTAAGGTGGCGACAAACATTGCAGGGCCAGGTATCGACCACAGTGGGAGTGGAGGCAGGGGATGTAGGGACCTCGAGCCGAAGTATCGCCAGTCCGGGGCAGCTAGGGTTGCGAGCGGTCAAAGAGGGGGAAGAGGAGTCGGGCTAGGACTCGGATGAACTGCTCGCGGGAGAGAAAAAGAATTGGGCCGAATTGCGAAGGATCGGGGAAGGGTTTGGCTCCTGCGTGAGTTAGAGCATGCGGTGGGTTTTAGGTTCAAGGAAATTTTCTATTTTTATTTTATTTTATTTTATTATTTCACTTAAGATTCGTTGATTCGAGCACAATTTAATACCACTCGGGATCATACTAAATTTGGTGTCATTCCTAGGTGAATTTGACGTTATGGACGCGCCAGCTCGGTCCATTTCGTCATCTGAGGTCGTCTGGGCAACCTTGTCGACAATCGGGTCAAAAGTACATCAAATTCAATTTTCTTCAAATTTCGAGTTCTTGATTGGTCGTTTTGAAAATTAATTTTGGTTTTGATTAATTATGAAACTTATAAATGCGTAAGCGATGTGAATTGTGATATTAAATATTTCGACTATCAACATTGCGAAATTTGTGTGCACAAATATGCAAATTGTACCTAAGGCAACTTTAGGGCTTAATGGCTCTATAGGGACTCATTTTGAGTTCTCTCATGTTAGTTTCAACCTCTTAAGTGATAGAAGTCAAAAACTGCATGTGTGGAACTCCAAAAAAGTGTTGAGAAATGGTTTGAATTTCTAAACTGAGGTAAGTCTCATCACTAGTCCTCTAAGATAGTCGACAAGAAACTCTAAGACTAGATTATAGGCTCTAAGGAGAGGAGAAAGGAAGACATCTAAATAGGGTCAACAGTGCACACGATTGTCATATTTTCAATTTTGCTACACGACACTGAAATGTATACTTGAATATGAACAAATAAAATACTAATATCTTGCGCAATACTGATGATTACTATTATAACAGAAAAATATTATTTGGTTGACATTGGATATCGGATCAACCTTAAAATTACCTACAGTTTAAGAATATTTTATACTCAATTTTTGAAAATATTATGCTTTAACGAATGGTATTTTTATGTTTTTGGTTTCAGGTGCAAAAAAAAGAGTTTAAGGAGCAAAAATACATCAAAAAGGAGCAAAATAAACTAAATTGAAGAAAAGTACCAAACCAGCCGAATTGGCGCCTAGGCACCAGATGCGGAAATTGGCTGGAGCTTAAACGTGACGGTTTGGCGCCTAGACGCCACGGTTACTTTCTAGAAGATTCATTGCATGAGGCAGAATTTTGAAAAGATGTATGAAGCAACCCTTGATCATTTCCGAAGCTTTATAAATAGAGATTAATTTCATGAGTATAAAGGGTGGGATAAGATTATATAAGGTTGGATAAAGTTGTACAGTGAGTCATATAGTGTTCTTTGTGAGTTTTTGTGATTTTTAAAGTTTGTGAGTGTTGTTAAATTCATAGAAGTCAGATAACTTCAAAAGAGTGCTTGGGGAAACATTCTACATAAGCATTTTTATCTTTTGTCGTACTTTGGATTTGAGTTTTAAAAATATGTTGTATTTGTTATCCATATGCTTCATGAGTTGTTTTTTTTTTCCTTTCTCCTTGCAATATGAAGTAATTAAGTAGGTGATTTGGATTTTGTTTTGAACTTCTTTTAATCCTAAAAATTGTGATGATATTTTTATGAGTCATTTATTTATTTTGCAAATTGGCTACAAATTGGTCACTTGTATTGTTAAAATCTGTTGAGGAACTTATAAACCCGAAATGACTAAGATTTCTTAACTTGTAAGCATCACATTCTACCTTGGAAAGAGCAGTCGCAATCGTCCGAAAGGGAATGTAAATAAATAGGGAGATAAGAATTGATGTGATAGAATTGATGTTTTTAGAGTGACATACTAAATTCTTTTATCAATTTAGTCTAGAGATTAAAACTAAGGGTCAATGGTAGGTCGTATAGAGATGCCACAATGGGTAATCTAAGAGTGAGAGATTATAACCTACCCAACGCTACTAAACATGCCGACACCAACTTTAGATTAACCATTGTTCTTTATGCTCGGAAGAGGTAAAGAATATGTATGCTCTTACTGGTCACAATATCACATTTAAGTTTCTAAACATATTGAAATCATATATTGATTATGAATTATTTATAAGGAGAAAATGTCATTTTTATATATTGTTTAAAATTATTACATTTACTTTTTACTTGCTTTTGTAGAATTCTAGTAAAATTAATTTCATCACTATTTATTTAATTAATTGTTATAGTTTAAAGTAAAGTTCGTTTAAAGTTAAAATTCCTGAATTTCATTTCTTTTATTTCTGTCACTAGTTCCCTGTGGAATCGAAACTGAGATTTTTATAGAAAATCTTATATTACTTGAAACGATACATATACTTGGTTAGTAACTCTAGTGTGTAAGTTATTTTCTAAATTTATATTATTTTGATTTAAACTAGCCGCTAAATATAATTTGAGTTAAATTTTTGACATATTAAGGAATATAAATATTTGTGTAATTGAGGATGGGTCAAGTTTTTGACGCCATTACCGGAGAACTTAAAAAAACTTAAAAGAAATAAAAGAAATTTTTAAAAAAATTAATTTTGGAACTTTTTAACTTTGAAACTTTATTTGAACTTAAAAAATTATAAAAAAACTAGTTTTATAATTATTTCAAATTTATTAAAATAAAAAAAAAATCACAAAAAAATTTGCAAAATCTGAAAAAACAAATAAAAAATACAAATAAAATTTATTTTATTTTTTTTAGATATTTTCAACTTCTGAATTTTAATTATTGTGTGTGAAGTTCGGGATCTAAAGATTTAGTACCCTACGATTCTGAATTAGAACAAACTATATAAAGCATTAGAAAACAAAAACAAATCCATAATTTTCAAGAAATGTCAAACACATCACAAAATCATATTGAAATTTCAACTAATTAAAGAGAGCATCCAAATGTACAAAAACATTTAAAAGATTATGTCAACTCTACAATAGATAAAATTCACTTAAGTATTCAAATTCTTGTTGTAACGGCTAAGTCATTTAAATTTAAACATGCAATAATACAAATGGTGCAAAATAATCAGTTTGGAGGAACGCCAAATGAGGATCTAAACTTACATCTTGCTAGTTTTCTTGAGTTTTCTAAAGTTTTCTAGAACTTTGTGTTACATTCAAATATGATGGTGTATCGAATGATGTGATTAGATTTAAATTTTTTCCTTTTTCGTTAAGGGATAAAACTAAGATGTGGCTAAATTTATTAGCACCTGGATCAATTAAAACTTGGGGAGAAATGACACAATTTTCTGGCTAAATATTTTCTTCTTTAAAAAAATGTTAGGTTTAGAAATGATATTACTTCTTTTATTCAGTATGAAAGGGAGTCAATCTAAGAGGCTTGAGAATGATTTAAGGAACTCCTTAGAAAGTGTCCACATCATGATTTATCTGACTAGTTAATTATTCAAACATTTTATAATGGATTAATAGGATCTTGTAGATCTATAATTGATGTTGTTGGTGGATGATCTTTACTGTCAAAATCATTTGAAGAAGCACGTGCTTTAATTGAAGAAATGACTACTAATAATTTTCAATAGCCCTCAAAAAGAGTAAATTCTAAAATAGTAGCTAGTATTCATGATAATGATGTTTTTACCATCTTAGTATCGCAAGTTGCTGCGATATTTAAGAAAATAGATAATTATGCTATGACATATTGACAAATACTGCAAACAAGTGAGAAAAATCTATTAGGATACGTTGGCATCAATTTTTAATGTCATGAGAGCAGGGTGTTTACCTGCATGATGCGGGATAACTTACAACATGTTCGTAACAACTGGTAGTTTATACTCCCATGTGAGACCTTTAGGGGTGTGTTGAGAGGCACGCAACCAGGGTCATTTTGCTAGGCTTTGGCTTAGGCAAAGACCGGTCAGCCTTTTACACGTCGGACGACTCCGATCGGGTGAACGAATAGTATGTGTCGCGTCGCACGCAAAATTGACTTAAATTGGTCTGATCGTCAACGAAATTGTTCGGATGGTAATTTTTACATTGCTTTTTGAAATATTTACCGGGCTATCTATCATTCTTATAGTTTATCCTATGCGTTTTCATTTTTTGGGTTTGCAAGTTACAAACTTTTTTATCTGCAATGAGAGGTATTCTAGAATTTTAGTAATAAATACACTTCTTTTGAAATCTAATATTTGTTATATTTATTAAATGATTATTTTTAAGAGTAGAAAATGAAAAATTTTAATTTGTATTCCTGACTCTATCAGGAATTTCTACAATGTTTAACCCTTTTTCTTTATTTTATTTTATTTTTCTTGTTAGATTTAGTATTGGGGCCCTGTTTTATCTTTTTCTATGTTTGGTTTTGGTGTTTTCAATTTTTGCTTTCCTCTTCAAATCTTTTTTGTTCAATAGTATATATTTAGTTCTCTAAATATATATTTATTGTTCTTAGGTGGAGATTTCCTTTATTATAAACACAACATGGATAATTTTCTTATACCTTGGTCAATTTACAGTTACTTTACTTGATCTTATGCCAAGTTTAATGATGCATTTGGTTTTTGGTCGAGATTTGGGTTTTGTGCTATGATGATAGCTAGTCTCATAGGCAAACTCAGGTAAGGTTTAGGGGGGTCAAATTCAAATTTTTACTTATATGGAAGACCATTTTGGACCTTTTGTCCCTCCTGAAAAAACAATTTGCCCTTTGCCGACCTAGCCCCTCCTACATTGGGTTGGGATTTGTTTTTTGTGCAATTGTATTTTTAGAAATCTATTATTACTTGATTCCGCCTTTGAGTTTTACAAGGTTACAATTTTTGGCTTGAAAATTCTCATCCATTTAATTCTAAATTTTAACTCTACAAGCTAATGCTAAAGTTATTGTTTGGGTATGAACATGTTATCATCGAATTCACGAGTAAATGCAACTAACATAATGGAGTATTAAAAATAAGTCAATATCTCTCAAATCTTTTGAAACGTGGGAGCCTTGACAATAGGGTTGGCTTAGCGATCTCCCCATGACTGACAACCTTAACATCGAAGAACTTGACGCGCTTCTTTGGGTTATGGTAAAATCCACAAATTGTTAGTTCACATCGA